ATAACTTGAGACCTTGATACAATTAGTACTTATTTTCAGTGCTTTTTTTAAAAATAAATAAATAAATAAAGGTGCCAGAACTCACACATGTCATACAACCCGCCTTGCCTACCCTACAAGGTTCCATCCAAAAAAGGTGTCGGAACTCCGTTCTGGGCATTCTATGAGAAAAAAAGCCCTGCTTATTTTAAAGAATACATTATCCTTTTGAATGATCTACCATGGACTATTTGGGAAGAATATTGTTTGAATTTTTTGTCACAAGATTTCAAAAAAATTCTCAAGTTGATGGCACCTCTAAAGAAGTGTTTCTCAATCTTAGAAACTTTAAGATGAGTGAACTTCAACTCCCAACATTATGGTCATAAGTCACTTTTTTCAGTATTGTTGTAACTTTGAATGGTCTCTCTCTCTCTCTCTCTCTCACACACACACACATATATATATAATGGCCATTCAAATTATCAGAGAATATATGTACACACACAAAGGCAGTCCTATTTTAAGTCGAGGACTATATCTATATCTATATTCTCTGATAATTTTTCTGCAAGGTAACTTTCAAACAGCACTCAATACAAACTGCTGTGTGATCTATTTTTGTGACAATGGAGTGGAAAAAAGGATGCTCAGTGTTTCCAAGGTCTATTCCAGAGGGGATGCTATGCTTCCAGCTGGAAAAAAGCACACACTTTGTTTGATGCACATATCCCACTCTTATTTGCACACTGACAAGTATTAACAAGCATAACTGTACATTATGTTTGTATTTTTTAGACTCATAGAAAGTCAGTTTGGTCTAGAAACCAGGAGACCGTGAGTTCTACTTTAGGCACAAAGCCAGCTGGGTGACCTTGGGCTAGTAGTCATTTCTCTTAGTCCAAGGGAGACAATGGCAAACCACTTCTGAAAACCTTGCCAAGAAAATAGCAGGGACTTGTTGAGGTAGAGTCCGAGAATTGGACATGATGCAATGGAATAAAAATAGATACTTATTCTTAATTCTTAAAAAAAACTTAATTCTTAAAAAGAATTATTATTGTTATCATTTTCCCTGATGGTTGGGATAAAAGGGGAAATGGAAGAACTATGTATACATTGAAAGTTAGTATCTTTATACGTATAGTAGCACAGACTGAAATGAGGCTCCTTTTGAAGACTGTATAGAAATTGATTTTGTGAAGTTTACATTATATGTATGTATTATGTTTGAATTTCAGTAATTCATACATCAGACTGTCAAGATACACAAGAATAAAAAAAATTCAGTACACGAAGTCTACACCAGTTCTTCAGGAGAAAAGTACTGTATATACATACCTTGATATCAATGAGAGCCGATCTCATTGGTAGCTTCACATTGCAATGAACATTCAGTTTCGCAGCTACTAAAAGTCTTGGCCCAGCAGATACAAAAATAGCCAGGGAAATGATTGAAGCTTGGGAAATGGGCCCCTCGTCAATCAACAGGGCTGCTGATTTACCACCAGCTTATCAGGTACTTAGGAGTTGAGGACTTACCAGCACAAGGAAACAACAGCCAATAGCCAGCCAACAACACTCCAATTAATAAAAAGTTACACAACCAGGCACCACATAAATACCATGCATAGAATAGCCCACAGCACACATTTCTGGCAGAAAGAAGTTCTCTGAGGATAGACTCCAGCAAGAGTCTGAAACCTCGGAAGACTAAACCTCTGGTCCCGGTGACCAACCCAGATTGGGCCCTATAGTTTTCTCTCTCTAGTGTCTAATCCTAGGGGTTCCTTGGCTTGTCAAATAGCTTTGGGAGATGAAACAACTGAAGAGATTATACTGGAAGACCATGAATAAATATGCTCATACCCATGTTTGGGTTTGCACTGTGGTGATAAAAATGGCAACATGCAGTTTCTGCTCTTATTGCATTTTCAGATTCTTGATAGTTCAGGGTGATGTGTTTATTATTAGAGAAAAATGCTCAGAACAATATTATAGATTGCTGTAAAATTCTCCACAGACAAAAATCACTCATACTGGTAGTAACATAAATGGGATAACATCTCTCAATTTGATCTGAGATTCTTTTGATTTCATGACTCCAAGAAAAAGAATAAGATCCTCTGCAATATTTTTATTTATTAAATTTATATACCACCCATTTTACCAGCAGGCTGGGTGGCTGAAGACTGGACTATATGGCTAATTAAGGAATTGATTAATGCCTCAGAAAGGAGAAAATACCACCAACCTTGATAGAGACAGTGATAAGCAATCTGTTTAACAATATATTGTACACAACTGAGATTTCACAAATTATTGGGAACCCTGATTTCTTCCTTCAGAAAAAACATAATTTCATTTGAAGATTTATTTTGTTAGCAATCTTGTATTCAGTTAGAATTCAAGATATTTCCTGAGATTTCAACTACTAAAGGTACGTTCCAGACCTCTAGAATGTAATTGCACAGCTGCTAAGGATTGCATTGGATTTGTGACATTAAAGCAACAGGAAACTCCCTGTTATCTAGCTCTGACCTTATCTTGGCTTGGAACTAATCAGGGTTATATCTGGCTACAACCTGAGTAAGAAACCTCAAGAAATATCAAAGTTGAGAATATTTTTAAAAAATCCAGAATGCAATAACAAACCACTTGTAAAATGTTGCCAATATAACAAATTGAATTCCTCCATGAAATTATCAGGAGTTAAATTCAGCTCCAAAGGGGCTATGTTTACCTTCCTAAATTTCTAACTGGGCCTTTCATTATTGATTACTATTGAACATGATCGAACCTTTCTATCTGTACATTTCCATATCTTTCCATTTAATTCTATTGCTCAGTCAGTTAGTTTACATGAAGACTGGAGAGGTGGGAAGGAACCTAATAAGAACCATTTTTGCATCACTTCAAGAGCTGGATGCACTAACCCTCCTATTGAAATAGCTTTTTCTTTTTTTTTTTCTTCTGACCCACCAGCAGATAAATGATCTGTTTGATCTCCACCTTTTTCTTCATGAGGTTTGCAATAGTTCACTATGAAAAGATGAGTGTTTAGAGAGCCAATCAGGTGTCATCTTGTTTTGGCAATGAGCCAATCAGATCACAGTAGGATTCAGTTATTGATGTCATATATTGAAGCTGAGAGGAGGACATTTGTCAGTGTTGATCGCTATCAAGTTGGTTGGGGTTTCTTGTTTTCTTTCATTTAGTGAGCTTGTAAAACATAAAATTAAAGTAATGGTACAAAGAGTTGACTGGTTGCCCAGAAAGCGATGCAAAATAGTATTATTAAGTGAACAAGGCTACAATTATAAAGAAATTAGAAGAAAAATTGGTGAAAACTTAACCAAAGGTGGCATTTCTACTGTACACTTTTCCCAAAAGGTTTCCACAATTTTGGCCACTACTGTAGATTGATAATAGCTCTATCCTAGTGCATTAGAATGTTACATGTAAGCCAAGCAATTCCAAGTTTTTTTTCCAACAATGCTTTACTACCCTGTTACTTTGCAGCCAATGGTAATGCTGGCTGGCGATAATGGAAATTATAATCCACTTCATTAGGAAAGCTCTGGATTGGGGAAGGTTGTCTTATTACATGATAAAGGAAGGAAATGGTGATAGAATGATACCCCAAATATCTCAGGAACGGAACTTCATACAATTTACGATTATTTTGGAGACAGAAGGTTGCACAGAAGTGCAGCAAAGTAACGCGGACGGAGAGGTGTTCTCGCGCAAATTTTCCATCCTGCTCGAAAAATATATTTTTAAAGATCTTTTCGTTCAGAAGAGCAACCACAGCCTCTGGAAAAACAAAACAAAACCATTCACTTACTTGGTGCCTCATTGAAGCGCTTGATGGGAGCCTTCGGAAACGACATAACCAGCCTGCAACTTCCCACACCCAGAACGAACAGAACAAATTCAAAAACTGAACAGGATCCCGCCCGCTTTAAGGCACGCCCGAATCAGCCAATGGGAGAATTCGACCGGCGAATTGGTCAACAAATCAGGGGTCCACGGTGGAGCTTGCGCCGTAGGAGGGCGGATAGATAATTAGGTAATAGATAGATAGTAAAAGGTAATAGATAATAATAGAGATTGCGAAGCTAGGAATGGTGCGATATGATTTTAGACTCCCATACTGAGTGCAAGGAAATATGAACATAAATGATTGATAGTTTGAGGCTGTAAAGTAAAATGAATATTTAACATATTTTAGACCCTACTTGTTGTTTTTCCTAAGTATAAACCTACGGCGTGTCCGGTTGTCAATAATATATTGTATGTTGTCAAATAAAAATACATTTTATACTGTGCACATAGAATGCAGTTTCCAACAGGTCAACTGGATTGTGGATTTATATTTCCGAGCTTGGCATCTTTTTACTTTCAGGTTAATCCTGTTTGAATTCTCATAATCTGCTGGCCAGTCAATTATTTTGGGAACTGAACTCCAAAACATCTCTCGGTCAAGAATAACGTAGATGATTATAGGACTGAAACATTGTTTGTAAACCCTTTCTTCACGCAAAATCTTGTTGGTCTGTGTGAGCAGCAAAATTAAATGTGATTTTATTTTAAAGCGACTCGTATATCTACGCCTGTTCCTTTTTTACTAGCACTGGGCAAACAAATTTACCAAATGTGCCGGGTAGCAGTGGGGCTTTCTCAGTCTCAGTTCCCCGTATTGTCTCTCTGTAGTTCTCGACAGGCTGTCGTATTGCTTGTCTTAAGGCTTTTTCATTAATAAAATGAAAACACATTGAGAGAAAACAACTAGAAACTTGAACCAGCTGTTCCCACCCAAAATGGTAGATTGTAATTAGTTGTGAAACGCTATCACCACGCACTCTACACTTTTTCTCCCGCTTCTAGTTCTATGGGCGGTGTCGTAAGAAGCTGGCGGAAGCCTGGCACGCTTGGCCTCGCCCCCCCCCCCCCGCGGTTTCTACCGGAATAGTTCCGAAGACGGGCGAGGAGATCGGACGAGCGGCAGCCGCGCAAAGGCGCATGCGTCTTTTTCCAAGCTTGGACAGCCAAGTGGATGTCTGCGCCGTTCGAAGAGCGGAGCGGGCTGGTGCCCTGCGCCACTCCCTGGGGCTGCTGGTACCAAACCATAGAAGAGGTCTTCCTCGAGGTGAACGTGCCGCAAGGGACCCGTGCGCGGGACGTGGAATGCAGCCTGAAGAGCCGGCACCTGGCTTTGACCGTAGCGGGGAAGGAGGTGCTCAAGGTACCTCTGCAAAACAGGAGAGAGAGAGAGAGAGCAATTCCTTCCATGCTGGTTCGGTTTAGTCCTCACGATGTGACATGGGAGAGCGTAGCGCAGACTTATTGCTGCGTGGTCTCGTATTGAGTTTTGCTTATTGCTTCTGCTCTACTATACTACACTTTTTTTGGGGGGGCGGGGAGAGGGTGTGTGTCTTCAAGTCAATCTTGACTCCGGGTGATTGCCTGGATAATGTCCTGCAGTTTTGTTGGCACGATTTCGGAAGGGATTTGCCAGCAAATCACTTTTTATCATCATTTTATCATTTCCCCTAGAAATCAGGAGTTTGTGAGTTTTAGTTCTGCCTTAAGCATGAAGCCAACTGGGTGACTTTGAACCCATCACTCTCTCTTTCTGCCCTAGGAAGGAGGGAGTGACAAGCCACTTCTGAAAGCCACCTTGCAAGAAGACTGCAGGGACTATCTCAAGGGAACTTGTGGACTGGACACATTGATTAATAAAAAAAATATCTAAGTACACAGATTATATTTAGAATTCTGGAACAGACTGGCTAATTGCCCTACTCTCATCTTGAGTACTGTATATAAAAGATTCTCAGTCTCCTATCTATCTCCTATCTTAGGCAGAAAATTCAGATTCCTAGTCTATCATTGACGGAAAAAACTCCCAACAGTAAAGCTAAGAATACAGTTAGAAGAATAAATAATATTTGTGTTGTATAATCTTTTTAGATGCCAGTCTGTCTTGACAAGTTGATGAAAATGTAACATTTGTGCTACAGGTAGTCCTCAGTTTATGACCACAATTGGGATTGGAATCTCATCCATTGAATAAATAAATAAAGTTTTTAAGATGTCATGTGACTGTTTTGCTAAGTGACCACAATCCCAGCACTTTTGGTTGCATTGTTAAGTGAGCTTGTAGGATGTTAAGCAGAGATAGTCTGAGGTAGGGAACAGGCCTGCTTTGGGGTTGGGGGAGGCTTTGCACAGGCCACATGTGAGTCTCCCTTTGCTTATGAGATGAAAATCCTCCCTGCCGAAATTCAAAAAGGATTCTTATCGCCCATGTAAAGGGACACTTATGCACAGCCTGCACTGGACTTCCTAGGGCTTCCCCCAACCACCTTGTGCTCCCTATCTTACCCACATTGCTTCTCAACTGAGGAACTGAAAATCCTGCCTGCTGAAATCCACAAAGTTGGAATTCTTTGGAAGGAAGTCCTTCAACCAGCCCAGAAACAAGAGAGAGTCCTCTTGGCAGGCAGCAGCCGGTTGTAACCTTCCCTGCTGGCTTCCCCAATGATGTTCTGGGAAAACCAGTGAAGAAGATTACAAATGGTGATCCCATGATCATGGGGCACTTGGCAACCGGTTGTAAGTGTGAACACATTTCCAAGCACCCAGATTACAGTCATGTGACTGGAGGGAGTAATAATAATGATAATAATAATAATGATGATAAAAGTTGGAAGGGACCTTGGAGGTCATCTAGTCCAACCCCCTGCTCAGGCAGGAAACCCTATACCATTTCAGACAAATGGCTGTCCAGTTTTTTCTTAAAAACTTCCAGTGTTGGTGCATTCACCGCTTCTGGAGGCAGGTTGTTCCACTGGTTAATTGTTCTAACTGTCAGGAAGTTTCTCCTTAGTTCTAGGTTGCTTCTCTCTTTGGTTAGTTTCCACCCGTTGCTCCTTGTCCTGCCTTCAGGCGCTTTGTAAAATAGCTTGACTCCCTCTTCTTTGTGGCAGCCCCTGAGATATTGGAACACTGCTATCATGTCCCCCCTCGTCCTTCTCTTCGTTAAACTAGACATACCCAATTCCAGCAACCGTTGTGTGCTGCACAGTGTGTGTGCTGATTCATTCCTTATCTTTGGAATTATGGCTTTAGAATTAAAAACCTGTCTATAACCTTAGGTGTCACTAAGCAGTTGGCTACTTAATCATTTCTTTCTGCTTTCCAAAGGGGATGCAATTTGGAATTAAAACTTCCCCCATTTTTAGCAGGATAGAGTTCAAGTGCAAGAAAAATAAATGGTCGTAATTAAGGTTGGAATTTTAATATATTAGAATCTTGAAGGCCTCAATTAAAATAGCCAAATCTATAAAAAAAGTGACCTTCTCTTATGCAATAATTGTACTGTTAAGCAAGCTGACCTTTTTTTTTAGAAAATTTTATTGATTTTCTAATTTTACATTTAAATATTTGAAAAGCAACGTGGCATCTAAGTTGATCAATAATTCAATAACATACAAGTTATTGAACTGAGATCTTTAGTACAGATCTCAAACTATTACATTAAATATTTCCTCTCTTTTCCCCTTGGTATTTACTGTCTCATATTTAAACTGATACAATTCTTATTACATCGACTAAATAAAAATAATTTTCTTACATTTATCAGTAATTTTTAATCTATACATATCCCAGTTACTTTAACATTCAATCCTTTTAGACAATCAATGTCCTAATCAGTTTTTAGTTTCCCATCAATAATCGAATTCAACGTCCAATATTTATAATTTCCAAATTTTAAATAACCCCAATTCCCTTTATCATGATTCACCACAAGATCTAATGTTCAGGATACACGTCTTATCTATTTGAATTCTCATCATCTTACATCAAATAATAATACAATATAACATTCTTATTTTCTGGTAATTTCCAAATATCTTAAATTTAGTAACCAAAATTTCTCTTATTTCAACATTTAATACTTCCTCTCTTTTTCTCTTAATATCCACTATCTCATATTTAAGCTAATAGTTTTTATTATTACCACTAAGTAAAAACATATTTATTACATTAATAGATTTTTAGCTTATATATATCTTAATTATCTTTACATTTAACCTTTATAAGCAAATCGATGTTCAAATTTAACTGTCAATATTTATATTTCCAAGTTTTAAATGATGTTTTTGATGTGCTACTAAATCTAATATTTAGTAAAGTTTACAAAATTATATGCAAAACTACAGTATTTCTGTAATCAATTTGTGATATTCAAATATTATAAATCTATAATATTTGCTTTTGAAATATAGGTTTTATATTTTTAATTTTTTTTTCAGGGTAATCTGTTTGACTCTACAATAGCTGATGAAGCAACCTGGACACTAGGTAAGATCTGTGTTTCAGAGAACTTTACATAACAATATAGTTTTATATTAGTTTGAATTTTTAATTATTTTTTAAAAATCACATGGAAAATGATATTTTGTAAGGACATGGGAGATGTAATTTTGGCTACCATTTTTCCCTTTTGGCAAAATCACAAATCTTGTCTCACTTATTTTGGCCATGTCATGAGGGAATTCACTAGAGAAAGCAATTGGAAGAGTTAATGATAAAAGCAAAGCAAGCCGCCAGAGAACATGGTAATTAAACATCATCAAAGCTGACAGCAACCAGAACATGGAAAAACTTAAAGAAGTAGTGCAAGATCAAAAGATGTGGAGAGATCTGGCCCATAGAATCATCAAGAGTCAGACATGAGGCTGAATGGATAAACATCATCACCATCATTTTCTTTTTCTCAAGGTTTTTTAAAATAAAAGGAAAGCAGTTGTTAATCTCTATCATTAGACCCTGTCCCTTCACTCTGGAAAACTAATGAGGATGGTCTACATAATTTGTGTTGCACTTTCTTACAGTTCAAAATATGAACATTTATTATGATTATATACCATCAAATTAGTGCTGAATCTTAGGGATCACGTAGATAGATTTTCTCCAGGATAATTTGTCCTCAATCTTGTTTTCTAACAGCCTACTCTTTGTTCTGTAATTGAGTCTATCCACCTAATCATCCTCTTCTTTCAAATAATTGTTCCAAAGATAATTGTGAATAAATCCAGTGTTGTTGTTTTTTTCATTTGAAAAGAGGATCAGAAATTGATACGAATCACCTTGACAAAAACCAACCGTGATGCTGGAAACTGTTGGAGTTCCCTGCTTGAGAATGAGTATGCTGCTGATCCATGGGTTCAAGACCAAATGCAAAGGAAGCTTACATTAGAAAGGTTCCAGAGAGAGGCAAGTCAATAGATATTACCCATATTGTAAAACAATGGTGGCCCAGTAGTTAGAATGCAGTATTGCAAACTACCTACAACTAGGAGTTCGATCCTGACTGGTTCAAGCTGATTCAGCCTTCCATTCTTCTGAGGAGAATGGAGGACCCAGATTGTTGTGGGCAATATGCTGATGCTCATAAACCCCTTGGAGAGTGCTATAAAGCACTATGGAACAGTATATAAGTTTAAGTGCTATTGCTAAGTGCTATTTTCATTTAAAACACTATTTCATAGACAAGGCTTTATAAACAAATCAAAATTAATTTGAATATATCATATTTATAGACCACCTATATCAGGAAATAATTATCATATACATCATATACTGTTATCGGACGTCCTATATTAATTTACCAGGATCAAGACTCATGGAATGTACTTTAAATACATTCTGAAATTTAATTTGGATTTCAAATGTGTTACTAATGTTGCTAGAGCACAGCTGGTTGTTTTTACATTAAGCTTTATTTAAAAGAAAAACGAGGGGACGATGGAAGAAATACAAATGGCATTTGGATACGTGTAGGTTATAAATATTATGAAATAAATAAAAATATATACAGGTAATTTAAAGTTATTTGTGTTTTTCAGGTGCTAATACAGTAAATGGAAAATGTTAAGAAGAGTACATAACAGAATTCTGTGTAGTCTTAGTTTGAAATATATCCCAGTAAGCATATTCAGCAAGAGTATAAATAAAATGCTATGCCTTCTCTTGCAGAACCCTGGATTTGACTTCAGTGGAGCAGAAATTTCTGGAAATTATACCAAAGGAGGGCCAGACTTTTCTAGTCTTGAAAGATAGTGTGTCCTTTCAGCTATATTTCCTCCAGTTTCTACAAAGTGCAAAACATTAAGCTTCAAAATAGCTTACTGGTTTTCTTCTGAACAACCTTAAACCATAAAATAATGATTGTTACCAGACTTGCACTAACAGTAATTAAAAATGACATTTCATGCATACTCCGATCAAAATTATTTGTATGATGACACTGTTGTGCAAGGTTAACAGCATACAGTTTCAGTTGTTACACTTCAAATAGTTTATTGATATGCTAGTAATATTTTTTTTTGAAAGTCTGTGATCTGGCTTATTCTTTGGCAAAGCAGATAAATAAAAAACATTACTTCCTAAATGCTCTGGCTTTCTCCACTGTCAAATAACTAAAATAAACTTTGAAATTATATTTTCAAATACATTGTTGTGTGGTATAAGAACACATTTTGAAGGCAGGATTTGCCATTCTGAAAATTTGTATTAAGCCAATTCCAACACTGTATTTTACTTAGAAGAGTCATTAAAACTACTAATGTTAAAATCTGGTATAATTAACATCTTCCATAATTTTGTATCAAATTGTACTGTCAGTCAAACCATAACATGCAATACGATAGCCTTGGGTAAAGCCATTTAGTGTTCATAAATTTATCCCTGACTTACTTTATAACAGGAGCTCCAGGGTGTACATTCTCTTAATGAAATTCAGACAACCATTTTAGCTATTCCATGCCAAAGAAGATTTTTGACTTTTGTTGTTTTGACTATGGGCACCTTTGTGTTACATATCAAACTGTCTGGAACACTTCATAGAATAATTAAAGCATGTGTAACTTTTTCATGAAAGATAGTTCTGCTTACACTGGTACTTATGTTTTTCTGCAGCCTAAGGTGTGATTTATAGACAAGCATGTAACATAAAGATATAAAGATCTGGATTGTATCCAGTGATGCTATTTGGACTACTCAAATAGCTCATTTTTGCATCCCAAATTGGCTCCAACATGTTAGGGTATATGTTAGGATATATATGGACAAAAAATGAGCTGAATTCTCATTCAGTGATTGGAAATTTACTTGGACAACATAGCATATATCTTTTGTTTATATATGTAAGAAGGAAGAACATACATCATATGTAATTAAAAATTCTAATAGTTGTGTCACACTTTGTTTTATGCTTGCATGCCGTATTTTTCCATGTATAAGATGCACCCTTGTATAAGATGCTCTGGCATGCGTATTCCAAGCTTACAGCAAACAAAGTCAGCGCTGGGAGCAACCGCCTCCCAGCTCTCTAAATAGACGCCTCCCGGCCGGCCCCACTCCCCACCCACTTAACCAGCATTCGGCACAATGAGCATGCATAGTCAGTTCACAGCAGCAGCCTTCCGATGCTGGTAAACAAACCGGCATGACCACCAGCATGACAGCAAGGCAAGGGAAGCGAAGGCAGGTTTTAAACTCCGTTTCTCCACGCCGATCAGCTGTTCGATGGAGCACCAAACAGCTGAGCTGGCAAATCCGGAAGTTCGGCTGGCCACTATTATTGAGCAGGGCAGCCTTGCAGCTGCGTTCCACAGGGTCCCCAGCCAGCATACAGGTATGAGGGAGGGAAAGGGCTGCCGCTGCTATCCATGCTGCTGGTCCCATTTGCTGCCTCCGGACGCTGCCATCCAACGATCTTGCCCCCTCCTCCCTCCTGTTAGTGGAAAGCCCACGGACTTGACACCGGCACCAGGCGGCATGGCAGCGGCATGTAAAGAACCCACACAGGCATGCCCTGAGCTGCAGAGGTTACTATTTTTTCGTGTATAAGACGCTGCACTTGTATAAGACACACCTGATTTTTGAACGGTGTTTGCAGGAAAACATAGTGTCTTATACATGGAAAAATACGATATATCTACTCATCCAATTAACAGAATGAGAGTTAATTGTAGTCTGATTCATTCCCTAACCACATGTACTCTATCTATAATTTTTGTATCTTTATGCTTAGACATGTTTAGTTATCTATAGTTAAGTGAAGTAGTAATTTTCATGTTTTAAAAAGATTTAAACTACCTCAGTTTGTTCTATAGTATGTTTTAATTGTACATTGCCAGGGTTCGTTAAGTGTTTTGTCTGCCAAGAATTCAAGGCTGCTATTTCAGCTATTAAGATGCCACAAACAGAACTTGTATTGTTTATATAAATTGAGGAAATGGGATCAATAAAATTGATTTTGTATGCCTAAAGAAGACTTGAAATACAAAGCATGAGGAAAGGAAAAATACATACACTAAACCAAGTAACATTCTCACAAATAATAGTACTTATCTGAGGATATTGGAAACAATTTCAACAAGGCAATGATCTTCAAACCATGATGTGCTCACAGGAAACAAAAGTATGAAGATTTTGGAATGATCTTTTCAATCCCTAGATGAATATTATTGAAAATATGCGATAAGTGTACCTTCAGATTTGCAGGCAAAGTGGTATTCACAGAAATGTACTATTTGAACATGAGAGCTTAAATCCTTGAATGCAGTTGTACATGATATTACCATTCTCTACAAGTAGGGTTCCAAATTGGTGCTCTTAACTAAATGCATTAAATCTAGGCTAGTAACATCTGGGGACTTCCAGATATATTTTATTATTCTTGGCCATATTGACTAAGATGACTAGAAGCTGAAATCCAAAACATCTAACCACCATTGGTGCAGTGGTTAGAATGCAGTATTGCAGGCTAACTGTCCACAGTCTGGAGTTTGATCCTGACCACCGCAAGGTTGACTCAACCTTCCAAGGTCAGTAAAATGAAAACCAGACTGTTGGGGGCAATATGCTAACATTTGTAAACTGCTCAGAGTGGCTGTAAAGCAATATGGAGTGGTATATAAGTGAGTGCTATTGCTATCCATAATCTAGGACCAGAGTATCTGACTTAAGTCACCCAACACCCTTTTCCAAATCCAGGTTAGTTGATCTGATATATTCTATAGACAAGGTAAGTTCCCGAAAGCCCATCTGTGATGTAATCAACTCATCAGGCTGCAAAAATATTTTTTTCTGAAAAACAAGTTGGTTTTTTTTGCAATAGCTGCAAGAGCATCAAAGGTGGGCTACACATTGCTGGCAAAGAGTGTTCCAGGTATGTGTCTGACCCGGCATAGCCAGGTCTTGTAAACAGCCATACATATCTCAACATATAGCCTTGTTTAAAGCACAGTAAATATCAACATATTTTGGAAAAGATTTTTCTTTTAAGAAAGTTACTTTCACAATCCAAGGCCAACAAATCAAGTCATGCAATTCCATTTCAATGTGTTTTATTGAAAGGTACTCTTGTTGCTTACACGCATAATAGGACATTTTGATAACAAGTTTGTTCCTTCTTGACATCGTAAACATCTTAAATATTGTTCAGTTTCAATCTTCAAATACTAAAGGCATGTTAAGATACAATTATTCAATTTAATAATGTCCATAAAAAATGATAGACTGAGGAAATATCCCATCAGTTTTGTTCTGAAGAGCAGCTTGCAATGAGGTAGAAATAAATGGTTTGTCCAAATGCTGGGTTAAACCAAAAACAAGTCTTCAGGTTTCTGTAATTGTAGTCATTTTCCTAAATTTCTTACTTTGATTCTAAATACAAGCCAGTCAGCTTTAAGTGAGTCATTAAGGCAATATGAAATTACACCAACGGTATATGTGCTAAAATTAAAAACGTAAGAATTGCTGCATTATCTTTCCAGTCAGCTCCAAAAATTCTTCCTAAGTAAAATCTATTCTAATTTGGGCTGAACAATGCAGTACACATTATGGTAGAATACATTCTCAAGTTGAAAAGATAATTAAAACTGCTTAAGGTAGCACACCACTAAATTATGTGCTTTGAAATCCATTTAACACAATGTTTTACTGAAAGCTTGATACCAATCCAAAGCCAGTCACATTCCCCTAAATATATGCTTAATATAAACACAGAACTTTTGCACTTCTAATAGAGTAAAAAAAAGTTTAATCCAGACCAGAGAAGTTTAAGCAGTGAAATGCTTAAATTTGTCTCACCAATTTTGGTACATGCAAGCAGAACTAAAGACCGGGGTGAAACACTATGGGCAAAATCTAAAATGTTAATTCTATTTTTAGACATTGCCCACATTCTCAGCTGGTGCCTGACTTGCATTCTTTAAACAGTTTTAATTTCCAGTGAATATAATGTACTTTCCAACTTCTTTCAAATATACTTTGCTAGAATCTGAACTGTAATGATACTTGTTAAAAATGTATTCTTTATGTTAACACACTGTAGATACAGACCATTAGATTTGGCACTTGCAGTCAGTGTGATCTAGGGCCAATATATTTTTCATTAGATTAGATTCACCTCTAATGTGAATCACAGTATAAAGGAATTATCTAATTTTGGATTAATTTGGAATTTTATGTTAACACCATTTCTCAATCATTATTACCATTACCATGAATCAGATGTAGCAATTTTCTTTCTCTTAGTAATGTTACTACTCTTCCTAGAAACTGTGTGTATATTTTATTAGTTTAGTGATGGTTATGTTCATTTTATACCACCATTTAGTTCAGAAGTGCAAGTATACAGAAGAACTATTCAGGATCAAGTTCTACGATGACTCACGTTTTCACATTTCCAGAGAGTAGATCAAAACAAAAGTAGCTGACTTGTTGGTATTTTAGACCCAAGCATTCCTTTACAAAAAAAAAGTCTTTAGTTCTATTAAAAAATTTTGAGTGGATTAAAAACAGTCTTGTGGCAACAGGCTATACGGTATATAGTTCAGAGGCATAAGTGTGGTTGAAGTTTAACATGAAATCAGGTCAGAAGAATCCAACAATTTCTGTTTCAGCACAGGAAAGCTTATATCCTTGTTGATTGAACATATGTTGCCAAACAATGTCCCATCCACTCTTCTTCAGGATTACCACTAAATCAAAGGAAATTTGAAAATTAATATTGTAACAGTACACTTATGCAAAAGTGGAGTGAATTAGTGTTGTTTACAAGTAGTGTGTTCTAAAAAAACAAACAGGAATTTCTCTCTTTTGAAGATTCCCATTTTTGACTATTTCACTGTTTATATCACAGGTAGCCCTATACTTACAACAGTTCATTTAGTGACTGTTAGAAAGTTACAATACCACTGAAAAAAAGTGGCTTAGGAAAGTTTTTCACACTTACGGCTGTTGTATCATCCCCACGGTCACATGGTCAAAATTTAGATGCTTGGCAACTGACTCACATTTATGATGGTTGCAGTGTCATGTGATCACCTTCTGTAACCTTCTGACAAGCAAAGTCAATGTGGAAGCCAGATTCACTTAACAATCATGTTACTAACTTAACAATTGCAGTGATGCACTTGACTATGGCAAGGAAGTTCGTAAAATGGGCAAAGTTCACTTAACTGTCTTCACTTAGCAACATAAATTTGGGGCTGTTGAGGTCATAAGTCAAGGACTTTCTGTACTGTAATCTTTGCTGAGTGCACTGTCATGGATAGCAATAACCCTGTCAGCAAGGCATTGCTGGAATGAAAGTTTAAAGTATCTGAAAGGTTCCTGGTTTTGCAAAGATGAACTCTATTCTCCCATTACTTAAGGTCTTTAAGATTACAAGTAATCTTCACTTGCTGACCACAACTGGGGATCAACAAATCTTTTGCTATGCAAACTCAGTCATGAAATGAAACCTCACAACCCACTTACAAAATTAATTTCAACTGTGAGTTATTAAGCAAGACATGACCAGACTTGCAGCTTCCAGCCTGCTTCTCCATTGATTCTGCTGGTCAGAGGCTGGCTGTGAAGGTTGCAAATGGCAATGACATGATTGTGGGGTGCTGTGACCATTGTAAATGTGTGACGGTGCTAAGCACCTGAATCACAATTACATGACCATTGGGGTGGTGTGATGGCAAGTTCAAAAACTGGTCTTAACCAAACCAGCATTCGGTAAGGGAGGACTCTATGTATGAAAGTACATTTACATGCATACAAGTAATAAGAAAACTCAACATTTATATTTCTCATAGTTTAGCGCTTTACTTCTTGACTATTAAATGTCCATCTACTGTGAATAGCTTTTTGTGCCATATTAAACTGAAGAATGCAGGCAAGTATATTAGCATAAAAAGGATTGAGATGGGTAATGCTCACAAAGTGCAGTTAGGATTGGCAACTATATACCTATGTAATGCAGTTGTTAAGTGAGACATAACGTAACCACAACTTGTGATTTCACTGCTAGCTTCTCCAGACTCTGTTGAAAGCCTGCTGTGAAACTCTCAAATGACAATCATCTGATCGCAGAGACATTGTGATAATCGTTAATTTGAAGGAACTAAGTTAAGGTACTTTTTCAGCACCTTTGTAACTTTGAACGGTCACTAAAAAGAGCAGTCACTTAGCGAGAACTGCCTGTATAAATGAAGCACATTAGGAAACTTGAGAATATAAAACTGACACTAGATTTCAGTAGGTTTTCAACATGTTTTCCTTACAAATACCTGATTAGTTTTTTTCTGAACCATATAAACATATGTTTTTGTTCATACAAAGTTATATTTTTCAGATTCCTAAAAAGATTGCTGCAACTTTTACATTATCTTTATTTCAACTCAAAAATTCAGACGAGTCAAAAACACTTTTAGAAAATTCACCTTTTAGGGACCAGTTTCTGGGATTGTGGGAAGATGGGCAATTCTATAATAACTGTGTTTCAGTTGCCGGGCTGTGCGACCAGACACAATCCATTTTAGCTTTTGTCCACTTGGCTTGGAACATTTGCTTGAGGAATATTCTGAGAGGCACTTTGATACAAGTTCTTTCCAAAAGGAAAATTCTCTACTATTTATCTATAGAAAAAAAGGGGGGAAATTAAAACCACTCAGTACCGCTCATGAGCAATCAATGCATGTTGATGATCAGGTAACACATAATGACTGACACACTTTTATCATGCAAGTTTAAAAATGCTTATTCAATGCATAATTTCAGTTTATTTAAGAGGATTTCAGGTTGTCAATAATTTTTTTTACTATAAAATTCTGGAAATATAAATATAAGGTTAAAAACTGATTTATTGAAGAAAAATACACCAAAATGCAAGCAGGTTGACAATTAATTATTAGTACCTGTCATAAAAAATTATGTGCAAGATGTTTTAGGTAAATAATTAAAAAGAGAATTCTAGAATGAAGATTCACTAGAAATAAATGTTATGAGGGACAAAAAAATAATTACAGTACTGTATGCAATATATCAGTGTCTAGGGGGAAAAATGTAAAAGAAAGCAGTATGTTTTCAAATAAATTTCTCAAAAAGGAGACTTCAGTGTTAAGTTACTGATTTACAATGAAATAGTTATGCATCAAAGAAAAAAATAGGAGTTAAAATTTATGTATCAATATATTCATACACACACATATAAAATTTATTCATTCATTCATATAGTCCATAAAATGAAACTGAAAAGGTCTTTCTCATACTCTCACCAAATTTATCTCTAATAGTTAAAAAAAAGATATTCTCTTCCAAAAGATATTAATGATTTAAATACATTCATAAGAAGGAATATTATTTAAATAGCTTCAATCCAAATTAAGAATTTAAAAGTCATAACAAATATTTTGAATTGTGTCCAGAAACATGAACTTGCCAGTATGTTTCTTACAATTTAATCCACTCAATTCTTCATTGCAGCAAATTGAATAATCTCAATTTTCCAAATACTCTGAGAGAAATAAATGACCAGTTTATGACTAGTTTTAAAAGTTGAAATATTCTCCATTTGGTCTTTAGGAAATGCAGGTCTTCTTCAAAGCCCTGATGTTTTTGATATTACCATTTAAGATTTCAGTCTTAAAAAAAGGTTTCTTATACTGTAATCTAAGAATGAACTTTTATATAACCAGATGGATCAACTAAAGTAAAATCCATGAACATACACACAATGTAATATAATGTGATCTGGAAAATAAGGATTGCTTAGTGTGTTATATTGGAACACATTGTGTGGCTAATTCAACAAATCATGGATAGTCTATGAATTAGTCTATGAACCTCATCATATTTCCACAAAAAGGTTTCTAAACTTGTAAGCTGTAGAAGTTTTCATTCATAACATTCATACTCTGCTGGCTCTTCACCACTGCCCAAATATCAATACCCTTAATCCAGGAACTACAGTATATCCCTTTTTCTAATGTCAGGTTTGCCCTTTAACTACCATTCTGCTGAGCAATAGAGAGGCACTAAGAAACTTTCTGATTGGAGCTCTAGCCAGCTTCTCCATTCCATTCAACAAGTAATTAAACCATGAGATCTGCTGAGCTGCACTATTTGCTATGACGAGAGTTAAACCACAGAAGTTATTTTAATGTTTAAAAAATAACCACCATTATCAAAACTATTTGCCAGGGATTGAAATTGTGCCTCCTAACAAAAACTTGAAATACCTTCAAAAATATATTTCCTGAAACTGTCAGCAAGGATTCTCCTGAAAATTATTCCATTTCTCTTGCCACCTACATACTTATTTCCGTCCTCTTCTAATCTAACTAACCCAAACATTTTTAAAAGAAAGCAACCTGTGGATGACATCTAGCATAAAAAAATAGTCATCATATTTCTATGATGAATTAACAAAAGTTAATTCAAAGTTAGTGAGGACATCAAAGAGATATTTAATTATGGCCTACCTTGGAATGTATTCGGAGACACTGTATTATTTCAACCAATTCTGGCACTTTCTTCTTTTCAGCTTCTAGGGCCATTATTGAAAGTGCCAACACCGAAGGCTAGTGGGAAAAAAAATAATTAAGTTCTATCAGCTATGTTAAGTTTTTGCAAAACTAATTGCTGAATTGATCACTAATTGATCATAATCCATACCTTTGCTTTTGAAAGAAGAATTCTGCAGTGGCACGCCTTTAGTTGGGCTTCAAGTCTCTCTAATTTAAGATTATCATTCCTGTATAAAACAAGGCGTAATTTGTTGATTTTCAATATTTTATAAAAGGATTACCACAAAGTAAAATATGAACTGAGTAGTTAGAAGATATGAAAAACTAAAAAAGTCATAAAGTGATTTTTTGAACTTAAATAAAAAACATATTACCTAATATTTGGCAACTCAACTCTAAATTCTCAAATTATAAAATTGCATCTAAATACAAACATGTTTCACTCATAGCATATTTAAAAACAGTAATTAATAAATAGTTGGGACCTAGAGTAGAATCAACTGAGGAAGAGTATTTTTGGTAGATAAATCAGAAACTCTTGTTAGAAACTTGCTTTGAGCAGGGAGTGAGTAGTTATAGAGGATTAGCAAAATTAAATATTGATTGCCCTTTATTTTCTGTTTTCATTTGGTTCCTTCCACGCAGTTCTGATACTATAAAATCAAAGCCACATAAGGACACTCTGCAGGATTGAGATAATTCAGGTTATTAAAGAGAGTTAACTCTGCTGTATATATCTGCGTGCAGATGAGCTACATTTGTATGAGATATGTTTTTTCTAGAAACCTCAAAGG